CTAAAATTCGTATAGAATTTCATAGGTCTCTGAATAGCCTTGAAAAAGAACATAGCTGGAGGACTCTCACTTCCCGATTTCAAAACTTACTATAAAGTTACAGTAATCAAAACAGTGTGGTATTGGTATAAGGACAGACATACAGAACAATGGAATAGAGAACCCAGAAATAAACCCTCACATACATGGTCAAGTTATTTTCAACAAGGGTGCCAAGTCCATTCAATGGGAAAAAGACAGTCTTTGCAACAAATGGTCATAGGGAAACTGGATACCCACACGCAAAAGAATCAAGTGGGGCCCTTACCCAACACCGTATACAAAAGTTATCTCAAAAAAAGGATTCAAAAGAGGAAAGAGGGCTTCCCTGGTGGCGTAGTGGTTGAGAGTCCACCTGCCGATGCAGGGGACATGGGTTCGTGCCCCAATCCGGGAAGATCCCACATGCCGCGGAGCGGCTGGGCCCGTGAGCCATGGCCGCTGAGCCTGCGCGTCCAGAGCCTGTGCTCCGCAACGGGAGAGGCCACAACAGTGAGAGGGGAAGCTTCATGCATTGGATTTGGCAATGATCTCTTGGATATAACACTAAAAGCAGAGTCAAAAAAAAAGACAAACTGGACTTCATCAACATTAAAAACTTCTGTGCTTCAAAGAACACTATCAACAGAGTAAAAAGGCAATTCACGAATGGGAGAAAATATCTGCAATACACATATCTGATGAGGGATTAACATCCAGAATATACAGAAAACTAAAAGTCAACAACAAAAGACAACCTGACTCAAAAATGAGCAAAGGACATGAACACACATTTCTTCAAAGAAGACATACAAATGGTCAATAAACACAAAGGAAGACTCTCAACATCATTAGCAATTAGGGAAATGCAACTCAAAATCACCAGATACGCCTTCACACCCATTAAGATGGTTATTAAACAAAACAAAAATAAACGAACAAACAAACAAACCTAACAGAGGCTGGTGAGGATGTGGAGAAATCAGAACCCTCTGTGTTGCTGGTGGGCATGTAAAATGGTGCAGCCACTGTGTAAAACATATGGCAGTTCCTCAAAAAATTAAAAACAAAATTATCATGTGATCCAACAATTCCAATTCTGGGTATAAACCCAAAAGAAATGAAAGCAGGAACTCAAGTAGATATGTGTACCCGCCCCCATGTTCATTCCTGCATTACTCACAACAGTCAAAAGGTGGAAACAACCCAATGCCCACCAATAGATGAAAAGATAAACATAATATAGCATATATATATATAATGGAATACTATTCAGCCTCAAAAAGGAATGAAATTCTGACAGATGCTATAACATGGATGAACCTTGGAGACATTCTGCTACGTAAAATAAGACAGTCATGAAAGGACAAATATTGTATAATTTATGATTCTATTTATATAAGGTACCTAGGACAAGCAAATTCATAGAGATGGAAAGTAGAATGGTGGGCACCAGGGGTTGGGGGAGGGGAGAATAGGAAGTTATTGTTTAATGGGTACAGAGGTTCAGTTTGAGAAGACAAAAAAGTTCTGAAGCTGGATGGTAATGATGGTTGCACAACAGTGGGAAGGTACTTAATACCACTGAAGTGTACACATTAAAATGGTTAAAGAAAGAGAGAGAGAGAGAGAGAGAAGAGAGAGAGAGAGACACTACTTCACACCCATTTAGGTGGTTACGGAAAAAAACAAAAACAAAAAAACAGAAAACAAGTGTTGGGATGTGGAGAAGTTGGAACCCTTGTGCATTACTGGTGGGAACAATGCAACTGCTGTGGAAGACAGTATGGTGGTTCCTCAAAAAGCTAAACACAGAATTACCATATGATCCACTTCTGGGTATATACCCAAAGATACTGAAAACAGGGACATGAAGAGATATTTGTATACCCATGTTCACATCAGCATTATTCACAACAGCCAAAAGGTGAAAACCCAACTGTCTAGCAAGTGAACAATTAAACAAAATGTGGTCTATACATACCAACTGAGTTTTGTTCAGCCTTAAAAGGGAATGAAGATGTCAATTACATCTCAGTTTTTAAAAAAATCTTTAATTAAAAAGGAAAGAATGGGGACTTCCCTGGTGGCGCAGTGGTTGAGAATCTGCCTGCCAAAGCAGGGGACACGGGTTCGAGCCCCGGTCCGGGAAGATCCCACATGCCGTGGAGCAAGCCCATGCACCACAACTACTGAGCCTGTGTTCTAGAGCCTGTGAGCCACAACTACTGAGCCACCGTGCCACAGGTGCTGAGCCTGCGCGCCTAGAGCCCGTGCTCTGTGGCAGGAGAGGCCATCGCGATGAGAAGCCAGCGCAGCGCAACGAAGAGTTGCCCCCGCTCGCCGCAACTAGAGAGAGCTCGCGCGCAGCAATGAAGACCCAATGCAGCCAAAAATAAATAAATAAATTAAAAAAAAAAAAAGAAGAAGAATGAAGTTTGGACACACGCTATGACATGAAAACATTTTTACCTGAAATAAGTCAGACATGAAAGGACAAATATTGTATGATTCCACTTATATGGGTTACCCAGAACTGGTAAATAAACAGAGACAGAATACAGATTAGATGTTACCAGGGGCTAGAGGGAGGGGGCAATAGGAGTTACTTGCTTAATGGTTAGGGTTTCTGTTTGAGGTGATGAAAAAGTTTTAGAAATAGATAATGGTTATGGTTTCATTACATTGTGAATGTAATTCATGCAATGAATTTTATGTGAAGTTTACACATAAAAATGGCTTAAATGGCAAATTTTGTTACAATGTTTGTAACAAAATACATTCATCACAACTTTGTAAAAAAAAAAAGTAACGTAATATACAAAAAAACACTGAATTAAGCACCTTAAATGGGTGAACTGTATGGTGTGTGAATTATATCTCAACAAAGCTATTTCTTAAAAAGGTAACCATGGCTAACATTTAGTGAACACTTTCCACACACCAGGCACTGTTCTAAAAGGATTACATAAACCTCAAAACAACCTACCGAGGTGGCTACATTTCTTAACCTCATTTCACATATGAGGAAATTGAAGTTAAGTAATTTGTCCAATGTCACTCAGGTAGTGGAAGAGTCAGGGGTTCAAACCCTACCAGATTTTAGAGCTCCTACAGTTACCCACTCTGCTCTACTGAGTCCCACAGTGTGATAGGAAGGTTATTAAAGGCACCCAATAGATGCCCCGTTAACTAACGGGGATGAGATGAACAACTACTGTGGAATTCTAGCAGGAAAATAAATTCTAAGCACTTGGAATGTAGCCAGAAGAGTCCATGATTTATCATCTCTAAAATTTCAGAACTTTCCAATAGCGGGAATTTCCTGGTGGTGCAGTGGTTAAGAATCCGCCTGCCGATGCAGGGAACACGGGTTCAAGCCCTGGTTTGGGAAGATCCTACATGCCACGGAGCAACTAAGCCCCTGCACCACAACTACTGAGCCCGCGCCCAGAGCCTGTGCTCTGCAACAAGAGAAGGGACTGCAATGAGAAGCCCGCACACCACAACAGAGTAGCCCCCACTCGCCGCAACTAAAGAAAGCCTGCACGCAGCAACGAAGACCCAATGCAGCCTAAAATAAATAAATAAAATTTAAATTTTTTTTCAAAAAAAGAATTTTCCAATAGCTTTAATGTTAATACAACTCTGAGTTAGATTATTAACACACCATTTCATACATTTAAACACCGGCAGAAGAGTATAACCTTGCCCATGTATCTTCAATAAGACTGGAGAGTTCACTTAGTAACCTCTCCATTGACAATTCTCCTCTGAAAGGCTACAAAAAACTAGGCTCCTAAAGGCAACAAAAGTAAACCCAATTCTGGTAACAGAATTCTATAAAGAAGGGTGCTACAAATGTCCAGAAACAGAGACCTAGTACCTATTCTATAGGTTAGGTACCTAGTTAGATGCCTGTTAACCAGGCAAGGTTCAGGTCCAACTTTTGTGTGTTTCACCAGAATGCTAACATACCATTGTCAGTCCTACCCTCACTTATCAGTTCTTGATACCTCTCCTATAGTCCTCACAAGTTTGCTGATGTTGACATTATTAAACCATTCACATTGGTGGCACTACTCAACAGGAAGTTGAAAACTAACAAACCTAGGGCACAATCCAGAGTTCAGAAATGAATCAGGTGACCAGGCGCATCTAAGTCTACTGAACTCCACCTAGATCCCCGCAATTCTGACCTTCACAAGCAAACCTGGAATGTGCAAAAAATACAAGTACTCTTACAGTTTATGTACCCTACAAAACAAGGCCCTTTGTTTTATTAAAAAATGCACGCCCAGAGTTGAGCCCATAAGCACAACATCAATTCTAAAATTAACAGAAAAACACAGATTTACAACGCCAAAAGGAATCTAAAAAGTGAATACGAGGAAACTTCCCTCTCCTCCTACCTGCGCCCAACGGGTGCAGGACCCACCAGACCACTCCCCTGGCTCCAGATTCTACAGCCCCGAGTGCCGGGCTCCGAACTCTCGCGCCCTGTGGTCCGGCTGAGCCCACTCGGGTCTGTCCAGGTCTGAGAGTGAGGCTACATGCTAAGCACAAAAAAAGCTCCCTCTTGAACGATGCCTCAGAACTGTATCAGAATCTTTAAAAAGCAGGAAAAAAGGAGGAAGAAAGGGCCGCCTGCTTGGAGCTCCTCAGACCAGGAGCACCGAACCGCAACCACGCGCCAGCTACAAAACACCGCAGCCGGCCGCCCCGAGACTGGACCGGTAATTCCACCGCCGCGCCGGGCCCCGCCCCGGGCCCGCGACCATTCTGGGGCGTTCCTCCCGTGGGCGGCGCCTCCCTCACCACACCGCCACTTGGCTCTCTTCCTGAGCGAGGCCGCGGCCGCCCCGCGACACCGAAGCTGCAGCTTCTAGCCCGCGCGGGCCCGCGACGTCCAGAGCGGCCTGGCAGGCCGGCTCTTTTCCCCCAGGCTCCGGCACGCCCTCTCTACGGCCGCAAGCCCTTACCGAGGCAGCGCGGCCTCCGCGGCCCGCTCCTCCTAATCCTCGGCCGCTGCCACCGACCCAGCGCCGCGGAAACCGGAACTTCCTCCGCGCCGAGCCGCTGCCTTCACAAAGGCGCCGCCGCCTTTAGCGCTCTGCCCGCCGGGAGATGGAGTACCGCGGCCGGTCGCACCGAATCCACTCCCGGCGTACCCCGCGCGGGGGGCGGAGGGCGGGGCGGGAGGGGCGGTGCTTGCCTGCGCGGGTGGGACGTAAGAGCACGCTCTCGTCGGCGTCCAATGGGAGGGCGCCCTTCCCTCCCCCCCCAACTCCGTCCGCCGGGGCTGCTGGGGGTTGTGGTTTGGCCTCTGGCCCACGGGTTCTAGTTCTTTTTCGGTCTTTGGAGTTGAGCGAGGCGTGCATTTTCTTGGTGGCTTGGCCTTCTCGAGTTTTGCTCCCCGCCAGAGCGCACATATGGCCCCGGCCTGCGTAGCTTGAAAACGACTTATTTTCCGTTAATATGAAGGAAATGGAAGGGAGGCGTCTCCAGCCTAAGACTTCCGAGGCAGGGGCTTCTGGCCCACACAAGAGCCTGTTTTCCGACCCTCCCATAGGATAGGGAAGCAGTAGTCACAGAGGCTCGTCTCCTTTTCCTTCTGATGGGTTTCCAAGTTAGGTATTACCGACTCAGGAATACCAGGTGGGTGTCATCTGTGTTAAAGGTTTAATAGCCCTACCTACGAAGGAAAATTTACTCAGTTTACACAGAGCCTTGCTAGCTCGGGCAATACATCTGGCCAAGAGTGACTTGTGCGAGGTCACAGAGCAACTGGAAAGTATCTGCAAATCAGCAATCTAGTGGAAAACGGGGCAGCACAACGTTCAGTTTGCAGCTCATGTCCAGAATCTCCTTAGAGCTAATGTTCTTCAAATGGCCAGCTCCAAGCTTCCAAGTGGATCATCTACATTGTTGAAATGCTTGCTGGTTCCAGCTACCTGGTATCGCCAGGTAGTGGCTCCTCAGGGAAGGTAACCTGATTTTATAGCCTGAATTCAACATCATGGAATCGAAGAAGTCTGCTGCAAGAAAAGCCTATAAATCATTCTAAAATAAAGCAAGACTTATCTGTAGAGAAAAGAGATTGTTGAGTTAAGTAGTCTTTAAAGTTACTTTCCCACTTTTCAGACATCTTGTCTGGAAGTCATTCAAGAACTGCATGAAGCTCTTGCTGTGTGCCAGGCACTGTATCAGGTGCTGGGGCCACAGGAACCTGAACAAAGCTGATAAACTTTGCTGCTCTGGGGACTTACCTGGTGGTCCAATGGCTAAGACTCTGCCCTAGCAATGCAGAGGGCCCGGGTTTGATCCCTGGTCGGGGAACTAGACCCCACATGCATGCCGCAACTAAGAGTTTGCGTGTCGCAACTAAAAACATCCCGCATGCCACAACAAAGATCCCGCGTGCCACAACTAAGACCCGACACAGCAAAATAAATACTTAAAAAAAAACAAAAGCAAAACTTTGCTGCTCTGGTGGAGATGGGAGTGGGGGTGGTTACTGAAGACAGACAACAAACTAAACAAGATATACAATCTCTGCTGAAATGAGTTTGGTTTCTGTAAGGAGGGAGATGGAAAGCTGTCGGAGGGCTCTAAACAGAATAATATCATGGCTTCCATGTAACCGGGATCCCTCTGGCTGCTGTGTAGAGAATAAACTGAAGGTGGGAAGGGCAGAAGCATGCCAGCTGATTAAGAGACTGTTGCAGTAATAAAACCACAGAAGGATAATACTTGTACCTATGTGGCCACAGTGGAAACAGGAAACATGGACTGGGATGAGGGGAAAGAGGGAAGAATGTCAGAGGAGCAATTTTGGTAGGAAGAGCAGGAGCTCAGTTTGGGGTAGGTTGTGGGTTTTTTTGTTTTTTGTGTGTGCAGTACGCGGGCCTCTCACCATTGTGGCCTCCCTCATTGCAGAGCACAGGCTCCAGACGCACAGGCTCAGCGGCCATGGCTCACGGGCCCAGCCGCTCCGCAGCATGTGGGATCTTCCCAGACCGGGGCACGAACCCGTGTCCCCTGCATCGGCAGGCGGACTCTCAACCACTGCGCCACCAGGGAAGCCCTGGGTAGGTTGTTTTTGATGCCTAGTAGACAAGATGTGGAGTTGGCAGTTGGCTACATGAATCTGGAGTTCAAGGTAAAGGTCAGGGATAGAGATGCAAATCTGGGAGGTATCAACATATCGCTGGTGCTGATATTTAATGACATGGGCCTGGATGAGATGACCTAGGGAATGAAGGAGTGAGAATAACCGGAGAGCAGAGTTGCAGCCCTGAGGCCTGGGGCACACCAGCACTAAGAGGTTTCAGGGAAGAGGAGGAACACCTACACAGAGCTGTGGGTACTTTGACTTTGCTTCCCAAACTGGACCATTGTTGGTGGTTCTTTCCCTTATCGGATAGTACTTTGTCCTCTAAGGAGGTAAACATGTGAAAGAACTAATTATTTTTGCCTTATGCCCAAGCTCCTTGGGCAATAATAATTGCTACCCTTGTTCACAACTCTTTGCCTGGCCTTGTGCTGACATTTCATTATCTCATTTAATCTTCACAATAACTGTATGATATCCCCTTTTGTAGTTATGGAAACCAAAGCCCAGAAAGATTAACTTGCTGAAGCTGGAAAGTAGAGGGTGGGGGGATTCCAACCCAGGTCAGTCCTACTCCAAGGCTCATATTCCTGCCTACTTTCCCCTTTTCCTTATGGTGATTATTGAGTTTTCAGAGGAAGCATCTAGAATTTTTTTTTTTAACTTACATTGGCCCATAGTACTTGTAAGGTTGTTTATATTGCCTAAGACCAGGAATATGAGTATTTAGAATAGCTGACCCGGAACAGCGCCCTCGCCCGGAATGGGGAGCACAACGTCCAGCTGCAGAGGTAGCTTGACTCACTTTCAGCCCCTAAATTCTCACATGGAAGGACCCAGCAAAGAGGAAGACTGTTGTGCTGCCTGTTGTTCTTTGTTGCCTTGGTCACACTTGGGGCCATGACTCTTCAGCATCGAAAGTAGGGACTTGATCAAATGTTAAAATGAGAGACAGGAACCAGGAGAGATACAGATAATACAAGGGCCACAGAGGAAATTTTCCAGCAGAGCAGGAAAACCAGCTGCCTTACCAGGAACTGCAAAGTAATAAAGACAGGAAGGAAAACCTCTTCAAAATTTCCAGGGAAGAACTGACTATTCTTCTTTTTAAAATTAATTTATGTTATTTATTTATTTTTGGCTGCGCTGGGTCTTCGTTGCTGTGCGCGGGCTTTCTCTAGTTGTGGTGAACGGGGGCTACTCTTCACTGGGGCGCGTGGGCTTCTCATTGTCGTGGCTTCTCTTGTTGCGGAGCATGGGCTCTAGGCGCACAGGCTTCAGTAGTTGTGGCACGTGGGCTCAGTAGTTGTGGCTTGTGGGCTCTAGAGCTCAGGCTCAGTAGTTGTGGCGCACGGGCTTAGTTGCTCCGCGGCATGTGGGATCTTCCCGGACCGGGCTCGAATCCGTGTCCCCTGCATTGGCAGGCGGATTCTTAACCCCTGCGTCACCAGGGAAGCCCGGCTATTCTTTTTTTTTTTTTTTTGCGGTACACGGACCTCTCACTGTTGTGGCCTCCCCCATTGCGGAGCACAGGCTCCGGACGCGCAGGCTCAGCGGCCATGGCTCACGAGCCCAGCCGCTCCGCGGCATGTGGGATCTTCCCGGAACGGGGCACGAACCCGTGTCCCCTGCATCAGCAGGCGGACTCTCAACCACTGCGCCACCAGGGAAGCCCCCGACTATTCTTATTATTAGCTCAGAATACTTCATATTATATAATCTTGTATTTGTAGGAGGGAGAAACTGCTGAAGATGCTGAAAGAGTCATTTAAAAATTTGCCCTGAGTCACACCAGCAAGATAGCAACAGGGCTGGTAACAGATTCCAGCCTCAGGATACAATCGGGTCTTTTCACTTCAGCTACAGCATTTTCACAGCACCTCAGGTTCTGAAATGTCCACTCAAGCTATGAAAGAAAAGACATCTGGGGAAAAACAGAGGTCTTATTACCTTTGCTCCAGTTCTAGCTAGTCCTCACCACTGCCCAAGGCTAATCCTCACTCAAAGCCCAAGGCTTGAAGCAGCATCATACAGGGCAGCAGAGCCATCACAGAATTGACATGTATTATTATTCCAAAAGACCTAGATTTATTTCCTGGTAATTCTATCAGTAAAAAGTGACCTTTAGGGCTTCCCTGGTGGCGCAGTGGTTGAGAGTCCGCCTGCCGATGCAGGGGACACGGGTTCGTGCCCCAGTCCGGGAGGATCCCACATGCCGTGGAGCAGCTAGGCCCGTGAGCCATGGCCGCTGAGCCTGCGTGTCCGGAGCCTGTGCTCCGCAACAGGAGATGCCACAACAGTGAGAGGCCCGCGCACCACAAAAAAAAAAAGTGACGTTTAGGAAGGGTTGTCCCAATATTCAAATATAGGTCAATAGGTTGATTTAAACAGAGTTTTAAATCACAACCTTGAAACGTTTCGTAAGTAGCCACAACGGTTTGCTCTGAGTGTCCTAGGCTCAAGAGTTAGCCAGAAGCCCATGGGGTAAATGGCCACTTGCTTGGCTAAGGAGATGCAATACTTCCAAATGACAGTGGTGCTATCTGGTTGAGCTGATGTGCTTGAAAGCAAGAGTGGGACTCAGATAAGCCCTGAGGTCACGTGGAGACTGTTGAGGAGATTGGTTAGGTATGTTAAAAAAACTTTAAATTTGTCTTCTATAGGGATCAATTCTAGGGGCTGCAGCTTCTGGTTAATGGAATGTAGCCAGGATATTTCTGTGTCAACCAGAGAATATGAGACCTTCTTGGCTTGAACTCTCATAATGTAATATGGCAGGATTAATGAGAGTAAAACTATATAAATGATATTTACTCTAAGGGTGGGAGCCTGTCCTGCTGAGCTAGTAAGGAGAGAAAATACTGAGTGACGTGTGGAGACAGGGAGAGACTCCTCTCTCCTTCCCAGGGGAAAAGATAGTTAAGGAATTGGGCATTTTCTCACACGTTCTTAACTATCAATAAAAGGGAGGAGAAAGCTCCCCTTAAACTATGTGCGAAGGTCTAAGCCCTGTGCAAAGCCATCTCCGGTAAAAGGCCACAGCTTTGTCACAATGTCAGTCACAGTCCAGTGTTGTGGAGGTAGGCTCCAAGTGGCAGCTGTCTGAGACTATGAGAAAAGCCCAGGGGCAGAGCTCTCCCTCAATTCCAGTGTAGGACTGAGATGGAGACAGAACACTGCATTGGGGTGTTTGGAGCAGCAGAGAGAATCAAAGGAGTGACTTCATACTTTTTCCTTCATCCCTGAACTGTTGGGTGAATTAACCATGAGGTTATTAAGTGATTTAATTGCTTCAGAGAAAACATGAGCAGTATTGTTGTTAATCCCTAATTTTATTTCTTTAAACTACTCTCCAAAAGTAAACTTGTTGATTTTATGTTTTCCTGTTTTTTTCTAGAGGTGGTATCCAGGCATTCATCTTTTTTTAAAAGTTCCCCAGGTCATTCTATGTGCAGAGTTGAGAGCTACATTCTAGAGATTCATACTGATATATGAAAACGTGGCTAAAAGGATGTTCTGGGACTTCCCTGGTGGCACAGTGGTTAAGAATCCACCTGCCAATGCAGGGGACACGGGTTCGAGCCCTGGTCCGGGAAAATCCCACATGCCGTGGAGCAATTAAGCCTGTGCACCACAACTCCTGAGCCTGTGCTCTAGAGCCAGTGAGCCACAACCCCTGAAATCCGTGTGCCTAGAGCCTGTGCTTCGCAACAAGAGAAGCCACTGCAATGAGAAGCCCACTCACCGCAACTAGAGAAAGCCCGCGCACAGCAACGAAGACCCAATGCAGCCAAAAATAAATAAATTTATTTTTAAAAAATGTAAAAAAAATAAAAGGGTGTTCCTTTAGCAGCAGTTGGTGTGCCTACATCCTTTACAGTCAGTGTGGCCGGGTCCACTAATGACATTTATCCAGCCCCCAAACTTGCACTGTCCTTCCACAATTAGTGGAGGAAACAATGCCATAGTCTCTTTCTTTCGCTTTAAATAAACCTCTTGTTGGCTCGGGCGGAGGAGCTAGGAAGTCTGGGCCTGCGGTCCACCCCAGGCTTTGGGTTTGGGGAGGTGCCTGAGTTTGGCCGGGACCCTGTAAAAGGCGGTGCGGGATGATGCCACCGCTGACCCGGGTCAGGCCCCGCCCAGGTCTCTGCCGGGACCTGGCGCCCCGCCCCACCTCGCGGCGGCCGTGCACTGCGAACTACATTTCCCATAATGCACACCGGGGCGGGCAGGGCCAGGCCCAGCGACTGGAGCCGGGCCTTCGCCGCCAGAGGCCGGCGAGTGCTGTCTTCTTGAGCCGGCAGCCGGGCAAGGGGCCGTGGGAGGGAGCGGTGGCCTGCGCTGTGGCCATGTCTGTGTCTGCAGGGGGCCGTGGTCCCGCGAACCTGAACCATCAGTCCGGGCCCGGCCGGACACCCGTGACCTCCCGGGGGTCCGGCAGAGGGCAGTGACCGGCAATCTCTGTGCTTCCTGACCCCTTCCCCCTCCCCGAGAAACAGGTGAGTCCGACTGCCAACCCACGTGGCTTGGGGGCGCCGAGAGACTGGAGAACTGTCATCTTTGAAGGGAGGGGCTTGAAGACTGGGGGCCCCTGCAGTCTACGCTGCTATTTGCGGTAGAAGGACTGGGTCTCTCTGGGGTCCCTTCGCCGGTTCCCAGCTGGGGAATACAAAAGGCGAGGCCTGGAACTCTTCCTTCGGCTGGAAGGGCAAAGTCCTGTAGCCCCAACGCACACACATTCGGCCCAGCAGAGTGCTCTCAGAGACTGGCAGAGGTTGACTGTGGGGTGAGCAGGAAGCTCCTGAAAGTGTCTTGAGGCTTGGGACTTTGCCTTCAAGGGTGCCCTGGCTCAGATAACCAAGCTGCCTCTTGCACCTGTTGAGCCACACTTTCTGGGCTCGAGTTTGCTGGGGAGGGTGAGCAGCCTTTGTCAGAAAGGGGAGTGACCACTAGCAGTGACAAGTACCAAGCTATACTCTCAGCGTGGAGTAGGCATCCTGCTGAAGCAGTTACAGCACAGCCTCACCTGGACCCTGTCTGCCACACATCCATGCATCCTGGCACCATCCTCCCAGATAGCCCACTCCCCAAAGGGTCAAGGCAGGATAGGGCACAATCTAAGCAGGAAGAGGGAGCAAGAGTGGTAGGGACCCAGTAGGGAGGAGTTCTTGCAAGGCCCTTCCTCTCTCCAGGCCAGGCACCTAGAGGAGGGAGGCATACCAGAAGGGCTGATTGAGCTAACCTGTTTGGTGACATTGCTCAAAGGCACAGCAGAGCACTTGTAGGGCAAATAGCAAGCCCTGGGGGCTTCTAGAGAGGCTGCCTGAGAAGGGGCCCCAAGGGAGTATCTGGGACTGTTTCCAAGAGACCTCTCTTGCTTAACTGCTTCAGGCCCAGCCACCCAAGAGCTTCAGCCACACAGGTTATGGCTCCAATGGGGTTTGGGGTGGGTTTTGCTATGAGTCATTCACCCTCCCTGCCTAGTTTCCAGTGTAAATGTCCAGAGAACTGTTTGCTTCACCAGGGCTTTTGGCTGGACCCCGATACTTGCCTTGGAGATATTGAGGTACTACATGATTTCAGGTGGTTGGAGAACTGTTCGGAAGGAGATGTCCACTAGCCCCAGCCAGCTGACCCTGCTCTCACAACATGCAGGTACCATGTTGGGTAGTACTCAGCCATGCTGGGCGCAGTTACCTAAATCCCACTGGGATCAGTGGATAGTGGGCCCTCAGGGGTAAGCTGCTGTAGACCTTGTTTTGGTCTTTGAGCCAGAGGCGCAAGGCCACAGAGTAGGGACATGTGGTAGAAAGGAGTTCAGCTTGGGAGAGACTTCTGGGAGCAGCAGGGAAGTTACAGGTCTGTCCTGCAATTTCAGGATGAATAGCCAGTTAGCCTGGAGGAACTCCCAGCCCTAGGCCCAAAGGCATCTCTGTCCCAGCATCACAGATGGGTCATTTCAGGCCAGAGCCCACCTGGCTTCATGAGGTCAGAAGCACGTCCTGCTCACTAAGGGCCTGGCTCAGGATGAGCAAACTCGCAAAGGACTGATTTACATGGCAGAGATTACTGGATCTGTGTATAAGTGCAGGTACACATGGTCTGAATAAGAATAATCATGATGTGCTAAAGACAGCTGAGTGTATATGTACCTACTCTGTGCCAGGGTAACCAAATTACATGGATTATCTCATTTAATCCTTCCACAACCCAATGAATCAGTGCTGTCATCATCCTCATTTCATAGGTGAGAAAGCTGAGATTTATAAAACCAAACCAGGTTAATACAGGTCCCTCTGACTCCAGAGCCACTGTTACTGAACACTTAACTACTACCAAGGACTAAGTCTTCCCTACAGGCAGGAGTCTCCCAAGGCTACATTGGAGCTGGGTGTTCTCTGAGGATCTTTCATCTTCTCCCTTCCAAAGTTATTTATCTGACAAATGTTAATTAAAATCCTGCTTATGGAGCTGACATTCTGAAATTTGCGACAGCTCACGGGGTTACCTTCAATGTAGAAAAATAAAACAGGGCAAGGGAGATAAGAATCCAGGATATTCCAGGAAGGCCTCTCTGATAAGGTAACACTTGAGCAGCAACCTGAAGGAAGTGACAGAGTGAGTCATGTAGATATTTGGCCAAGTAGTGGAATAGGTGAGGTGGGGGGCAGGGGGAAAAGTAGGGAGGTGTGGTCCAGGCAGAAAATTCAGCAAGAGCAAAGTTCTGAAGTGAAGGAATACTCAGGATTTACATTTACAGTATACTCAAGGAAAGCCATAATGTCAGTGTGGCTGGGTTGAAGCAAAGCAAGTAGGGGAAAGAACAGGAGATGAGGTTGAAGAAGTAATTTGGGGGGTGGGGTGCAGTGCGTGTAGACAGAGAGGTTCTTGTGTACCACTGAGGAAATTGGCTTTCTCACTGGGTTAGGTGTGACCGTTACAGACTAGTGAGCAAAGGAGCTACGTGACTTGACTTCTGTCTCAAGCAGATCACTTTGAGTGCTGTGAGAAGGATAGACTGTACAGGGACAAGGACAGAAGTGGGGAGACTGGTTAAAAGACTGTTGCAATGCTGGAGAGGGTGTGGAGAAAAGGGAACCCTCTTATACTGTTGGTGGGAATGTAAATTGATACAGCCACTGTGGAGAACAGTATGGAGGTTCCTTAAGAAACCAAAAAGTAGAACTACCATACGACCCAGCAATCCCACTACTGGGCATATACCCTGAGAAAACCATAATTCAAAAAGAGTCATGTACCACAGTGTTCATTGCAGCACTATTTATTTGAAATGTAATTTGAGGCTTTAAATGCACATTCCTTTATTAAAAAATATAGATCAAGTGTTGATAATAGTTTTTTTCTATGTAAACATAAGCTCAATCAGTACAAGTTTGTTGTATTAGTTATCTATTGCTGTGTAACAAGTTATCCCAAAACTTAGCAGCTCAAACCAATAATAAATATTTATTATCTCATACAGTTCCTGAGGTTCAGGAATTTGGGAGCATCTTAGCTGGATGATTCAGGCCCAGTGTCTCTCATGAGGTTGCAGTCATTCAAAGGCATGACTGGGGTTAGATGATTTGCTTCCAACACTGCTTGCTCACGTGACTAGCACATTGGTACTGGCTGTTCTCAGGTTTCAGTTTCTTACCACGAGCTCCTCTCTTTACGGCTGCTTGAGTGTCCTCACAACTGATGGCTGATGGCTGGAGTTGGAGAGAGTGATCCAAGAGAACAAAGCAGAAGCCACAATGTCTTTTATGACCTAGCCTCAGAAGTCACACATTGTCATTTTCACATTATCCTGTTGGTGACATAGATTAGTTCTGCTCAGTGTGGGATGGGAGTATATAGACTTGAATGCTGGGAGTTGAGAATCACTGGGGACCATTTGGAAGGCTGGCTACCACAGCTGTGTATTAAAAACCAAGAGGCATTCTATGTGGCAAAGGTTAATGAGAGACATTTTGCTGGGTGTACCTGTATTCTGAAGTAAAGCTGACAAGATTTGCTGGTGGTTTGGTATATGAGGTACGGGAAAAAGAGAGGCATAAGGGATGCCTCCAAGATTTTTTGCTAAATAACTGGAAGTATCAAATTGTCTTTCACTGAGATGGAGAAAACTCTGAGAGGAACAACTTTTTAAGGGGATGATCAGGAACTCAGTTTTGGACATATAACTTTGAGATACTATAAGATATCCAAGGGCAGACATCAAGTAAACAGTTAAATGTGTGTGCCTCTGGAAGTCAGAAGAGAGATTAGGGCTGTGAATAAAATTTGGAATCATTAATTTATCGGTGAAATTTAAAACCATGAGACCGAATAAGGTCACCAAGGGATCGAATGAAGACAGAAAAGAGATCCAAGACCTGAAATCTTGGTCCCTCAACAGTAAGAAGAACTGTAAAGAGAACTTAGAAGGAGTGGTCCATGAGGTAGGAGAACCATGAAAGGAGAGTGATGTGCCAGAAGCCAAGAGAAGAAAGTGTTTTGAGAGAGAGGAAATAATCATTGTGGCTGCTGAGTGAAGTGAGATGATCCTGGAGGTCACTGGAGACCTTGAGGGAGCAGTGTTACTGGAGTAATAGTTGGAATGGATTCAAGTGTGAATGGGAAAAGTGGAGAGACACCTGAGCGCTCCACATTTCCCAGTCCCTCTGGCCACATGACTAGTTCTGGCCAATCTGGACTTTGAAGTATTTAAGAGTTCTGACATGACCCTCCAGCCCTGTCTTCCATTGCCAGGTGACGGCAGAACTATAATATGCTAGTAGCCTGGATTCCTGAATCACTGCCCGGAGGGAGCTGCTCTGAATTGCTACCAAACCCACAGTACGTGAGCAAAAAATAAGCCTTTAGTGCTCGCTTCGGCAGCACTAAAATTGGAACGATACAGAGAAGATTAGCGTGGCCCCTGTGCGAGGATGACATGCAAATTCCTGAAGCGTTCCATATTTTTTGGTTCAGGCGGTAATGCGAGTGATGGGGAGCGGCGCGGGGTGGCAGATGAAGCTTCGGCTCTCCCGCTGCTCACCTCCTGCTGTGCGGCCCACTTCCTAACAGCCCACGTCCCAGATAGAGGTCCGCAGCCTGGGAGTTGGGGACCCCTGCTGTATATAATGGAGTCAGCCTGTCAAATTAGGAACTTGTAAATATTTTAATACATATTATCCTTTAGAGTTTATTAAAAAATGGTTGCAAAATCTGTGAAGGTGGTCAAAAGGTACAAACTTCCAGTTACAAAATAAATAAATCCTGAGGATGTAATGTACAGCATAGTGACTATAATTAATAATGCTTGTATATTTGAAAGTTGCTAAGAGAGTAGGTATTAAAAGTTCTCATCACAAGAAAAAAATTTTGTAACTTTGTGTGGTGATGGATGTTAACGAGACATGGTGGTGACCATTTTGCAATATATACAAATATTGAATCATTATGTTGTAGACCTGGAACTAATATAATGTTATACATAGATTATTTCTCAATAAAAAAATGCTTGCAATAAAAAAAAAAAAAGAAAAGCCTTTAGGGAATTCCCTGGCAGTCCAGTGGTTAGGACTCTGCACTTCCATTGCCTGCAGCCCAAGTTCAATCCCACAAGCCATGTGATATGGCCAAAACAAACAAAAAAAGCCTTTATGTGTAAAGCCTCTACCATTTTGGCACTCATTTGTTACACAGCATAGCCTAGCTTACGTGACTAATTAAACTCCAAGTACTGTTTACTGTTTTGAGGTTTGTTTGTTTGTTTTATAAAGGACAGCAAAAAAAAAAAAAAAATAGGGTGGTACCTAGAGGGGAATGTAGAGTTAAGGGGAGGTTTGTTTTAAGGTTTTAATTGAAATAAAACAAACATAAAGTTCACAAATCATAAGTACAGCTCAATGAATTATAACAGAGTAAACACATCTAAGGGAAGGTGTTTGGAAAATGGAAGAAACATCAGTATATTGGTGATGAATAGGGGAGAAGGGGACACTGATGATCTGAGAGAGAGAGGGACAGCTGCTGAAGCCATATGCTTGGATGGGTGAGAGGGGCTGGAGTGGAGGTGTTAGTGGAGCCCAGACAGCTCATCTTTAGTAAGAAGGAGGAAGGCAGAGTCTGGCAGGTGAGGTGAGGTGGTAGTGGGAATCTTGGAAGTTCTCTTTTGCTGACTTCCATGTCCTCAGTGAAATAGAAGGTAAGGTTATCACTGATAGTGCTGAGGGTGAGCATTGGAGAAGATGATGGAAGCTTGAGAAGAGAGAAGATGTGAAGCTCTCCACTAGGGGAGTGGGAAAGTGAGTACACATAGAAATGTAGGGCATTCCCATTTAAAGTAGTTGTTCTGGACCCTCTCCTCAGAAAAAAGCACATACCAATCCAGGCCTCCATCCAAGGAGCCAGGTCCAGAAGCCCTGGCCACAACCCCAGGACTGGCAGTAGCAGCTTGCCCTCTGCCTATATATGGACAGACTCATCTCTCTGGGGTCGCTCTCTCTTTACACAGCAATGCAGACCCCAACCGGGCTTTTAGGTTAGCTTGTAAAATAATGGTCTCCAAGGTTCTCGTGTGGCCTGTGTCTTCTTGCTCAAGATCTGGACATGCCCTAGTTTCCTTAGCACCCACTGCCCTGGGCTCCGTGGTGTTGCGGTGGCTGTTTTGGCCTGTTTTGGATTGCTCCTCTTGGTCTCAGTCTCAGAGGAAACCTTTCTGGATGCCTCCCCAGGTTCCTGTTGAGGGCATGCAGCTTCTTAATTACTCTTCATCAGAAAAGGTGGACCACACCTTGGTCTTCTGGGCTCTGACCCTCGCTGGGAACCATCACTCTTGATTGTCTTGATGGACAGGACTGGTGGCCTAGAAAATCCCAAAAGGTAGATGTTCTCCCAAATAATCTTCCTTTGAAGATTATTCAAAGGGCACTCTGTGTGGGGTGATGCTGTTGACCAGTGGTACCCAACCCCCACTTAACTCTGTGGTGCTCTGGGACCAGTGGGGGCGTGGCCATCAGGCCAGTCTCTGGCCCTGCCTCCCTCTCTGTCTGTTTTGCACATTGAACTGCTTTACAAGATTAATTTGAAGAAAGGATTCCATAGCTTACAACAAAGATGACAGAAGAGCTTGAAAATCAACTCTTTGGGTACACTTGCAGGAGCTGCCCGCTAGGAACTTGTGGTCGGAGAGAGTTCTTAGACACAGGTAAGTGGGGGCCACACAAATGCTAGTGCTGGTGACACTGTTTTGAAATCACTCTTCTCATGAACGTTTTTGAGCACCTACTTCATGCCAGGCTCAGGGTGAAGTCATTTGCCCAAGGTTACAGAGCTAGTAAGGGACAAGCCTCAATTATTCCCTATGGACTCTGCTCCAGGAGGGCAGGGACAGAGTCTGCTTTGCTCACACTAACACCAGTCCCCCCCAGGCCCCTGGCCTGCCTGCAGTGCCTTCCTCATGAGTCTCTGACTAGTCTTCGCTGCCCTTCTAGCCCATCCAGCCAAATTTCTATTCCCTAAAGGGTTAGTGCCTCAGATGGAACCCCTCTCCTATGGATTGTTTGTTGCCTGCCAAATGAAGACCCTTCAGCCTGACATTAAGGGACCTTAGAGGCTGATCCCAAGAGAGCCACCCAACTTCGTTATCCCTGACATCCACTCTTGGCCACCTCCACCTGGCCCTGAGGCTGCAGAAGGACTGGGAGATCAGGCTGAGTTTGTCCTTAGTGTCCATCAAGTGGGCACTGAGAACCGACATGTCCATAGTTGTTTTTAACTGGAGAGGTGAGCCCTGGTGCCAAATTCAAAAGGTACAGAATGCAAGGAGAAAAGCAAGGCTTAGGCCTGTTTACTCTGACTCACTTTGTTCATAGTAAATGTCTAAATATCAAAAAGAACTGATTGGTCAACTCAGTTTTGAATGGAGAAATGTTCATGGTAGGATGTACAGTGGAAGATATCAGGATACAGAATGGTTTCAATTACCAGCTCCAGCGCTTCTTTCCTGTCGTGACATTGGACAATGTACTTACACTCTCTCAGCTTCAGTTTCTTCATATATAAAGCTTGTCTGACAAGAGTGCCTGCCTCAGAGAAGAGTGATCAGGATTACATAAAAATCCACATAGGGACTGGGACTTCCCTGGAACTTCTAGGGGTAAAGAATCCGCCTTCCAATGTAGGGGATGCAGGTTCGATCCCTGGTCAGGGAACTAAGACCCCACATGCCGCGGGGCAACTAAGCCCACGTGCCATAACTAGAGAGAGAAAGAAACACTGCACACCACAACTAGAGAGAAGCTTGAGTGCCGCAACTAAGACCCGACACAGGGACTTCCCTGGTGGCGCGGTGGTTAAGAATCCGCCTGCCAATGCAGGGGCACGGGTTTGATCCCTGGTCCAGGAAGATCCTGAAGATCGCAGAGCAACTAAGCCCATGCGCCACAGCTACTGAGCCTGCGCTCTAGAGCCCGTGCTCTGCAACGAGAGGCCACCGCAATGAGAAGCCCGCGCACCACAACAAAGCTTAACCCCTGCTCACCGCAACTAGAGAAAGCCCACAAGCAGCGACGAAGACCCAACACGGCCAAAAAAAAAAAAAAAAAAGTATATTTATTTATTTATTTTGGCTGCACTGGGTCTTAGTTGCATCAGGCAGGATCTTCATTGCAGCATGCAGGATCTTTAGTTGTGGCATGAGGGATCTTTTAGTTGCAGCATGCTGCTCTTAGTTTCAGCATGTGGGAACTAGTTCCCTGACCAGGGATTGAGCCGGGCCCCCTGTATTGGGAGCACAGAGTCTTAACCACTGGACCACCAGGCAAGTCCCCCATGCATTCTTTTATAATCAGAAAGAGAACAGCACGCTTCTTTAGAAGGGAATATTCAGAACCCATTCCCCAGAGGTTTGAGTTAGCTGGGTCCTGGTGAGGGATACTTTCCTGTACTTAACCGCTCTTAATTATGCCAGTGACTCCTGCCACTAGCACCTTCCTGCTTACCCTCAATGATGCCTTTGTTTGCCCCACAGGAGAGCCCAAGGGATGGCTGCTGACATGCAGAGGAAGAGAAGCAGCGAAGGCCCTGATGGCACGTTGGCTCCTTCTGATGGGCAGAGTGTGGAGAGAGCTGAGAGCCCCACACCAGGACTGGCCCAGGGAATGGAGCCAGGTATGGGCAGGGTGCGCAGCCCCAGCCAGCTTACAGCTAGGGCAGCCTCGAGGGCAATCGGGATTCCCAACCACTCTTTCACTGTCACTCATTCATGCATGCTCACTTGTTAGCTATTTGTCATGTGCTGGGGATACTGCAAGGATCCAGGCTCAGTGTGCATCTGGCCTTCCTCTCCACTTCATGTTGTGCCACTTGCCCTGTGCTGTCTTGCCACCAGTGTGGGCTCTTCTCCTATTTCCTGTGTCTACAGGTACCTCCCTGGCTCCTTCTCTCTCCCTCAGCTCTCAACTTAAATGTCACCTCCTCACAAGAGAGGCCTGCCCTGACCATGCTCTGCACAGAACACTAGTTATTTTGTAGTCTTATTTGTGTGTGTATGTATTGCCCATCTTTCTTGTCTACAAGATTGTGAGCTCTTTGAGCACAGAGCTGTTGTATCCCCAATGCCTGGTACAGTGTTGAACTCATAATAGAGACTCAAAACATATCTCTTGAACTCTTCTGTCCAAAAAAAAATCAGTAAAGGAAAACTGACATTGTCCCTGCCTTGGGGGAGCCACAGGCTAGTGAGAGCATTCCAGTGGAGGGGGTTAGGAACCATGGGTCCCTGTGCAGGGTCAGGGAGCCTTCTCCCAGGGAGAGAGATTTGCTGAGCAGAGGAGGTATTCCAGGCACAGGGCGAGGTGCTGGGAACACAGCAGCAAAAAACCAGGTTCCTGCCCATGAGGGGGAACCCCACTGCAGTTGGGGAGAAGGGCAATAACTGATAAGTGCCGCAAGAGAAGTCAAGGAGGGGGATATGATAGAGTGCCTGGGTTTGGGGGTCAGGTGACAGGGACAACTAACATCTTTGCTGTGAGCTGAAGTGTGACAGGGAGCTGGCATGCAAAGAGGTGGGAGTGCCTTCCATGCAGAGGGAACAGGAGATGCAGAGGCCCTGAGGTAGGTGGGGATATCCAAAGAGCAGATGCACGAAGGGTTGTGAGATGAGAGTGAGAGGGGCAGGCAGATACTGGCTACCACCGCAGCCTTGAGGGGTTGGGGTCTTATTCCCAGTGTGAGGGGAGGAGGCTGGTGGGCTGTAAGTCACAGCAGAGCATGACTTGTAGCCAGAAGGAACAGTGGCTTACCTCATCAGGACAGGCAGAGTACTGTATTGGGCACCTTGCTGGTGAGGTGGTCTGCCAGAAGCTACTGCTCTAAACACCAGTGCTTTTGGCTGGCAGGTGCCGGACAGGAGGGTGCCATGTTCGTCCATGCCCGTTCCTATGAGGACCTGACAGAATCAGAGAATGGGGTGGCTTCTGGGGAGAGCCCCAAGGAGGGTGCTGGTGGTCCTCCACCTCTGCCTACAGACATGCGCCAGATCAGCCAGGACTTCAGTGAGCTGAGCACCCAGCTGACAGGTGTCGCCCGAGACCTGCAGGAGGAGATGCTTCCAGGAAGCTCTGAGGACTGGCCGGAGTCCCCAGGGGCAGCTGGGCGACCAGCCACAGAGCCCCCAAGAGAGGGCACTGGTGAAGGGGATGAGGAGGAGACTGCTGAGGCATGGCGCCTGCACCAGAAGCATGTCTTCGTGCTGAGCGAGGCAGGGAAGCCTGTGTACTCCCGCTATGGGTCAGAGGAGGCACTTTCCAGCACCATGGGTGTCATGGTGGCCCTGGTGTCCTTCCTGGAGGCTGACAAGAATGCCATCCGTTCCATCCATGCAGGTGAGCCACCAGGAGGGGGGTGCCAGGAGGTCTCCCTGGCCAGGAGAGACCATACCAGGTTTCGGACTCCCAGGGACTAGAGGGCTGGGATGTGCTATGTGACCAAGGTTAGTCCCTCCACCTCACCGAGCCCCAGGTCCTCATCTGAACACGGGAAAACAACACTGACTGCCTCATAGGGCTGTTGTGGGGGCCAAAGGTGGCTCGCACATGGGCTTTGCCCTTGGAGAAGGTGAGAAGCCGGGGGAGGTAACCAAAATAATCCCAGGTCTTGAGCCCCACCCAGCTCTTGCCACTTAGCCCAAGAATGTGTGTCTTTCTGAAGTGCTTCCTGCATTTTAGCTGGTCCCAGTCTGTGAAACAAGTGGCAGGAAAGGGGAAAGGGGGGAAAGGGGGGCCCATGGGCATCTGTTTTTCTTTCATCCTGAAGCCCCCTCTGTGTGCACAGTTCTGAGGGGAGGTGGAGAGATTGTGGAAAGCGGGGCTCTGAGGGTGCTAGGGCAGGCCATTCAGGGAGGGCTTTCCGGAGAAGGGCTGAAGCTGACACCACCCCTATCCATCGGTCCCATCAGATGGCTACAAGGTAGTATTCGTGCGCCGGAGCCCACTGGTGCTGGTGGCGGTGGCCCGCACGCGGCAGTCGGCACAGGAACTGGCGCAAGAGTTGCTCTACATCTACTACCAGATCCTGAGCCTTCTTACGGGTGCGCAGCTGAGCCACATCTTCCAGCAGAAGCAGAACTATGACCTGCGGCGCCTGCTCTCGGGCTCTGAGCGCATCACGGACAACCTGCTGCAGCTCATGGCGCGAGACCCCAGTTTCCTGATGGGGGCGGCGCGCTGCCTGCCCTTGGCGGCGGCCGTGCGCGACGTCGTGAGTGCCAGTCTGCAGCAGGCGCGCGCCCGCAGCCTCGTCTTCTCCATCCTGCTGGCGCGCAACCAGCTCGTGGCGCTTGTGCGCCGCAAGGACCAATTCCTGCACCCCATCGACCTGCACCTGCTCTTCAACCTCATAAGTTCCTCCTCGTCCTTCCGCGAGGGCGAGGCCTGGACGCCCGTGTGCCTGCCCAAATTCAACGCAGCCGGCTTCTTCCACGCACACATCTCGTACCTGGAGCCTGACACGGATCTCTGCCTGCTGCTCGTCTCCACCGACCGTGAGGACTTCTTTGCAGTGTCTGACTGCCGCCGCCGCTTTCAGGAGCGCCTGCGAAAGCGCGGAGCACACCTGGCGCTGCGGGAGGCACTGCGCACACCTTACTACAGTGTTTCCCAAGTGGGCATCCCTGACCTGCGCCACTTCCTCTATAAGTCAAAGAGCTCGGGACTCTTCACCAGGTGAGGGAGGGCCTCGGGGAGACTGCTTGAGGGAGACAAGGGCGTGGGGTGGGGGTGGGCGGCTGGTTGGGCCTGAGCTCTGATGCAGTCCTGAAGCTGATGACCCCTCTGGGAATGGACCGACCTGCTGTGTCTGTTTGACTCTGATACCAGGGGCCCAAACCCCCTATCACCCTACTCCCCATCAGCATACACCTCTCTACTTCAGTCATTTCCCATAAGGCCTTGAAATACCCAATACACCCAGGGAAGGAAGCTGGAACAGAGGTCTCCTCTGTTTGGTCAGTTTGATCCAGCCCAGGATGCACAACTCCTCCACTTCCTCCTCCAGCAGAGGGGCTGGGGCCAGATGAGGCATCTTCTATCCTCCTTTTACCCCTTTTTGGTCCAGAAGGTTCCTGGCTCACTTTTCCTTCATCTCAGACCTGTCACTCTGTCTAGGACACCTAAACCCAGATTGGTTTCTCCAAGGGAGGGTCACCAAAGATGCCATGAACTTGGGGGAGAGGGGAGAACAGGGCTCCAGTCTGGGTGGGCCCAGCTTTGTCCTGGGGAGTCTTCAGTGGTGAGGAGACAATGCCTTGTCCTGGGGTGGGGGGGCATTTGGAGGGTAGGACCCATGGTGGAGTCTCCCTGGCCAGGAATAGGTGTTTCTGGATCTCCAGAGAAGCCAGTGGAAGTCATTCCTTTGCGAACCCACTCCCCCATCTCCAGCCCTGAGATCGAGGCCCCGTACACCAGTGAAGAGGAGCAGGAGCGGCTGCTGGGCCTCTACCAGTACCTGCACAGCCGCGCCCACAATGCCTCCCGCCCACTCAAGACTATCTACTACACGGGCCCCAACGAGAACCTCCTGGCTTGGGTAAGGCAGCCCTGGGATGGGCTGGGCTTCATCGGGGTCCTGGGCAAGGGCCACAAGGGTTGTCTAATCTGGATGACCACCCTGTGCCCCCTTCCTCCAGGTGACAGGCGCCTTTGAGCTCTACATGTGCTACAGCCCCCTGGGGACCAAGGCGTCGGCCGTCAGTGCCATCCATAAACTGATGCGCTGGATCCGCAAAGAAGAAGACCGCCTCTTCATCCTCACGCCCCTCACATACTGATGAGAATGTGTGTGGGCTCGGCCCTCCTAGGCACACCAGGCTGTGGAAGCCATGGGAGCTTCCAGGTGGGGCTGGCCTCTGGCCCAGGCAGCAGGCAGGGACTGTCGGTTGGTGTGTGCATTAAAGTGCTTTGGGGAAGACACTTGTGGGCCTTGTCACTGGTTCCTTCACTCTCACTCACACACAGACGCTGGATCCTCCTCCCTAGGCCCTGCCCATGCTTCCCCATGCACAGCATCACATGTGCTCAGAGTTGGCCCCTGGGCTGGGGCTGTTTTCATTCAGCTAAAGTCCTGCCACGTGTAAAGTGTTCTCTAGGACCCCACTGGCCTTCCCCACCACGACCAACCTCCCGCGATGCCCCACCCCACACTCAGTCTGAGCCCCTGGTGCCTCCCCTGTCACTCCTAGGTGGGATTCCCAGCTGCATGGCCTGAAGGACCACCCAACCACCTGGGAGCCCTGACTGTGGCTCTGCTTAATGGGCTGCTGTATTTCAGCAGGGGCTGAGCTGAGTAAGACAGGGACAGTCAAGTGGAGAGAGTCTGAGCCCGGGCATGGGTGGGAGCCCTTGGTGAGGTGGCCCAGTGTTCAGCACAAATTCAGAGTCCAGCCTCACTATAGCTGTAGGCCTCTGGGGAAACTATTCCAGCTTAGGGTTCCTCATGAAGGCTGTCCACCTCAGCTCCCCTACCTCTAGCCAGCACATTCCTTAGGATGGCCCCCAGGAGTGAGCCAGAGGACCTGAAAGAAGACCCAGCTGACCTCTGGGGCTGGAGTGGACCCTGCCCTAAGAAGGGCTGATGCTCTTTTCAGTCACCCTGTTCCCTGGCATGGCCCAGCCTACGTGGGTCACCAGGAACATCCCAGGAGGCTCAGCAGTGAAGGCCCAGCCCCATTCACTCTACCATGAGACCTTCTTAGGACAGAGCCCAAGGCACAGTGCAGAAAGCTTCTACCTTCCTGCTGGGGACTCTCCCAGTTATGCCACAACTGAACCATCTCACTGGCCAGGGAAACAGAAGACCTAGGAAGTGTTTGGGAGAATAGTGTCCATGGAATATGGTCTTCAGACTGTAGAGTGAATCACCTTCACGCAGTCTCTGAGTGCTGGAGCAAGATACGGTGCCACTAAAACCAACCCATGCTGGAAAATGTGTCTTTGTAGGTGGCATAGGCCAAGGATGCACTGGAATGAGTCACTTACTGTCCCAGGAAATGGCAGCACAGCCCCTGCCCTTGGCCCCACCCCAGATCACATTAGAATGGGTATGGCAGCAGGCCACCTGCCCAGACCCCAAAGCCCCTCTGGAGCAGCCACAGGCTTGGTGGGTGCTGCTCACACTGCCCACATGCCCTGGGTCTCTTTTCTGTCTGCTTGCTGTTTCTGTTCCTTCCCTGAATCCTGGAAAGGGCACAAAACCACTGCCTCTGGGGCCAGGGTGATGCCAGGCTAGCTGTCTCTGACTGCTACCGGTGTTCTGGTCAGTGGTCAGCCTCCAGGTGTCCCTGCTGGCTACCCTGATCCTTGCAGGGCTTCCAGCTTCTTGCCGTTCAGCACCTATTCTGGGTGGGGGTGGGAAGAGATAGTCACAATTAGATAAGTGTGTATACCTAGGACAGCAGGCACCTAAGAGTGCAGGGTTTACCTGTTTGGGGAGCAAGGAAGGGACAACAGACAAACAGGAAAGGTGTTCCTAGTGGAGCAACGAGCATGTGCAAAGGGATGAACCTGGTATGAAACCTGGTATGGTAAAGAACCTTGTCCGACTGGGTAACAGTGAAGCTGGAGGAGTCTTTAAAGCCTAGGGTTCTCAAACTCCAGGTAAAAGTCTGGCAGTGGGGAGCCACAGAATGTTTTAAAGCTGCAGAGTGACATGGTCATATTGTGGTTACAGAGGTCCCCCTGCTGTCATTAGGATGATCTCTTTGCGTTGGAGAAAGAGGCTGGCACTAGTTCTCTGGAGTAGTGTTCAGAGGGGAGTGAGAGCCCAAAGAGGGCAAAGTAGCTAGCACTCCTTCAGGGTGACAAATGCAAGGGCAGTGGGGTAGGTCCTTAGCTGAACGTGGGCCAGGCCTTGTGAACTCACCTTGAGAAAGTGCTTGTATTCGGCACTGCAAGGCTCCATTAGCTGACTTCACCCACATGGCTTGCCTGCCCCGCTCCCACAGACCAAGTGGATGAGGAGGGAGGAAGGGGCACTCTGTGGATGCCTGCTGTCAAAGACCAAGGCTACCTCAGAGGAGATGCCAGCCTGGGGGCAGCCAACAACTTGGCCACATGATGGCAGCAGAGGACCAGCTGTTGACTGCTGCACATCCACCCCCAAAACAGGTGAACGGGGAGGACCCCTCAGGTTTCCTCCCAACCTCTATAAGTCTCTCCCAATGTCCTGAGGCAGAATAGGGGCCACAAGAACCCATGTCTCAGCGCCGGGCAGGGAATGTTTCATATCAGTTCTGCCCTGCATGACTATCTTTAGACATGTTGACTGTGGAACACAGGAATGGTGCCATAATTTCTGATGTGTGTTTATTCATTTCCGGGCCAATTCTGGTTAGCGAAGGGAGTGCCTTTTATGTTGCCTCAGGCACGGTATCCTCCCAGCACTGGGTGTGGCCGCCCCCGTGCTGTTTCCACCCTGTCACCAGATGCTCATTAAGCTCCAGCCTGGAGGGGTAGGGGAGTCCAGCATTAGGAATGGGAGATGGGGGGAGTCAGGTATCCAGAGTAAACTGTGCTGGGGTAGGTGTAGCACAGGGTCTGTGGGACCCACAAGATGGACTTGTCACCGCCTGGATCAGGTAGGCTTCCTGGAGGAGATGCCACCTAAGTTACAAGAGAAGGAAGGGAAAAGGGTGCTCCTGGAAGGAAGAACAAGGAGTATGGGCTGGATGGTGAGTAGAGGAGATACTTGTAGGGTCAGGCTGAATCCTGTTGGGCTGAGGGCTCCTCTCCCCACCCCCACCCGTTATCCTCCAAAGCTCTGGGACTCACAGTTCACAGGTCCCTCAGACCTCAGCCATGGGCCACCCTGTGATGCTTTCCCTCCCTCCAGGGTCCAGGCCCACCTGGCTGAAGGGGATGTCAGGCTAAGGATGTACCCCAGGGCCCCCCTCCAGTGTTGCGGGGAGCCAAGTTACCAAGGAGCAGATGCTGAGAGATGGCAAGAGCAGAACTGAGTTGACTCCCCTATCCCTGCCCTGCATATATCACAGCCTGGAGAGAGAACTCTGGGTAACCACCTAGCGAGAACTGCACCCTCATTTCAGAGACTGAGAGGCTGAGGCCCAGCATGGCTTACAGAGCAGGTTAGAGGTGCCCTGAGAGCCAAAGCCCATGTTTCCCTCATATCAGGGAGGCCCTGGAGCAGAGCCAGGAATGAAGGCCAACATTTTGTGTTTTATTGTCCCCATCCTACAGCTTCCACCTACTGAGGCAGCAGTGGACAGACCAGAGCTAGGGTTGGGCCTCCACATAAGTTGCTTCTCCTCTGACTCTAATGTCCAGCCAACAGGGCTGGCCCCATCTTATAAATCCCACCTGCCCTGGGCAGGCGGGATGCAATGCACCATGCTGATACCATCCTGTCGCTGTCAACCCAGGGCAGGCCCACAGAGGGATAGTCTCTGCCCACAGAGGCTAGTGCCACTCCTGAGGTCTCTCCACACCTTCCCTCTGGTTCTCCACACATTCCTGGCCTCTGTTTCCCACACGGTGGGTCCCCCAGGCCCTGCCTGGAACGAGTGTCTGAGGATGTTGCTGTATCCTGGCGCTAAGAGAAGAAATAGGCCAGGTGGTCCTCAAATGCGCTGGGGCAACACGCCCCCTCACTTCGCCCAGTCGGTCGTGGGGGGCAGGACGGGACAGCTCAGATCTACTTAACCTCTCTCCAGGCCACTCTACGCACACCCACCCACAGGCCACTGAGAAAAAGGGGACCAAGTGTAGGTGTAGGACCCAGGCTTCCGAGGGCCAGGAAAGTCGAACAGGCAGAAGGGCTGGGCTAGGCCAGGCATAGAGCAGGCCCCGCCCACGTCCCCGCCCCCACACCCTGGCCCCGTCCGCCCCGCCCCTGGCACTCAGACTTTGCTCCAAGCCCCGGCCTCTCTGCGTGTGTGTACGCCCGCGCCAGGTGCTCAGACCCGAGGGCAGGAGAAGGCGGCGGGCATCTCAGGAGTCCTGGTGGGGTCGGTGCCCCAGGGCTCCCAGGACCGGCGCTCGACGCTTGTCCAAACCCAGACTTCTCGTTGGCTCCCAGCCAGGCCCGGGCCTGCAGGAACCTCCGCGGGCCGCCATCTGGGCCTCGATGGAGCTCCACCCGCCGCCATTGCAGCCCTTCCTGTTACTACTGCTGCTACTGCTGCTGCTGCTTCTGCCGGCGGTGCCCGAGACGGGAGGGTCCTGGCAGTGCCCGCGCATCCCCTATGCTGCCTCCTGCGACTTTGACGTGGAGTACTTGGTGCCCAGCTTCTCGGCTGGCCGGCCGGTACAGGCTGTGGCAACCTACGAGGGCGGCAGGGAAGGGAGTGCCGTGTTCGTGGCCACACGAAATCGCCTGCATGTGCTTGGGCCTGATCTGCAGCCAGTTGAGAGCCTGGCCACCGGCCCTGCTGGGGCCCCTGGCTGCCAGACGTGTGCGGCCTGTGGCCCAGGCCCCCACGGCCCACCGGGAGACACAGATGCGCAGGTTCTGGTGCTGGAGCCGGTGCTGCCTGCACTGATCAGTTGTGGCTCCAGCCTTCGGGGACGCTGCTTCCTGCATGAGCTAGAGCCCCGCGGGACAGCCCTGCACCTGGCGCCACCAGTCTGCCTTTTCTCGGCGCACCACAATCATCCGGAGGACTGTCCCGACTGTGTAGCCAGCCCGCTGGGCACCCTCGTGACCGTGGTTGAGCAGGGTCATGCCTCCTACTTCTACGTGGCATCCTCACTGGACTCGGCGGTGGCCGCCAGCTTCAGCCCACGATCAGTGTCCATCCGGCGCCTCAAGGCCGACGCCTCAGGATTTGCACCAGGCTTTGCAGCACTGTCAGTGATGCCTGAGCACCTGGCTTCCTACCGCATCGAATACGTGTACAGTTTCCGTGCAGGAGCCTTCGTCTATTTCCTGACTGTGCAGCCAGCCAACGTGGTAGATG